TCACATTTTTCACTATAACTATAACGTTATTCTTGTGTTAAGTAAAATACAGTATTTGAGGGTTACAAATTCTGGCCACAGAGGTCTCCAGCCTTTCACAGAGGTCTCCAAACTGTAAGTTTTAAGTTCGTTCTGGAGTAAAGGAAGGTCAGAATAAATGACTAAAGTTATATTAAAAATATTTACATATATCAGTATGCGTTTCACTTCCCAGGATCAGCATTACATAACGTACACTCACTTTTATTGGTACACTTTAAATTGTTCCAATAAAAGTTCATATAGGACATTGGGAACCTATGTATTAACATACACCTACTTTTGGTACACTTTAAATTGTTCCATCAACAGATCAGATAGAGCACAACATCTAAGGGGCTGTCCATTAATTATGTCAACAAAATAGGGAGGAAAAAAAGGGGGGGGGGGTCTGAAATTTTTTGACAATTCTTGACAAGGGGGGGGGGGGGGGGCAAGAAAACTTGACGTCAACAATGTTACTTTTTTAAATAAATTTAATTACTTAACAAAGGAAAATTAGGCAGCAAAATTGTTCCATCAACAGATCAGATAGAGCACAACATCTAAGGGGCTGTCCATTAATTATGTCAACAAAATAGGGAGGAAAAAAAGGGGGGGGGGGGTCTGAAATTTTTTGACAATTCTTGACAAGGGGGAGGGGGAGGGTCAAGAAAACTTGACGTCAACAATGTTACTTTTTTAAATAAATTTAATTACTTAACAAAGGAAAATTAGGCAGCGTTTGTAGTCCTGTGTTACACACTCGCCCAACCTTCAGTATTTTAATTAAACAAACTCTATTCCTACTTTTTAAAAACCGTGCTGTGCTTTAAAAAGACCCCACACAGAACTAAATATGCACACACAATATAACACTATTATTTTTTCAAAGTTGTTGTTTGTTGGTCTGCTGTGCAGATAAAGATTTATGTAAGTACACAGTCAACATTATACTATTTAAATGTCTATATAAATTATAAAATGCATGATTGGTTATACTAGACTCTATTAGAAATAATTGGCTTTAACTGTGAAATTGGATTAGGTCTAAAGTTAAAGTGAGGATGATTGGCCCATTCCCGGATGTGACTCTGCACTTACATAAATTATCAAAAATATTTAACATTATCTAGGACTTATGTGAAATCTTACAAATACATTACATGTCTAGAATGTTCAGAATTATGAAAAATTGTTAAATAGGTCTAGGCCTAATTTTTTTTTTTTTTTTTTTATAAATAACAAATTTTTTAACAATTGAATTTAAAAAAATTTTTATTTATTTTTTTTTTTTTTTTTTTTTTTAAGATTTACAATGGAGAAACCAAACTTTCACAAGTTGTTGTATGAGGCATATGTAAAGGCATTTCCCAACAAGCGTAAGCAAGACTGTCAAAGAGAGGTAACTGAAATTTGGAATAAATTGAAAAAAAGAGGACGATTTGCCAACAAAAGCAGATTCGTTATTGAATAGTTATGCCGGCTTAGCACAGAAAAATAAGGCACCATTAATGAGCTTCTGGGCAGACCAGGCTATGAAGAGTGTAGATGTCCTTCCTAAAAAAGCAGCCACAAATGTAAACATTGAAAAAGAAGTTGTCAGACATCAAACACAAACCATTCAACAAGACCACAGAGATATCAATTTAGAAGCTGGTCCATCCAATACTACTTGTGATGAAAAATCTGTAAAATACAAAGCAAAAGTAAAGATGAATCACAGAGCCAGATAAGCATCCTCAAGAGTGATTTGATTGGCTTGTATTAACGAAAAGAAAGTGGTGTTTTAAATTCAGATCAGGAAAAGGAGCAAATAGAAAAAAAAATTAAGGTTGATGAGCTAGAAAAGAAACTGAAAAGAAAGAAATATGAACAAGAAAAGCAGAAGATATACCGAAAAAAGAAACTTTAGCTCAAATTTCTGCTGAAAATCCTGACGTCATCAGTAAATTGAAGATCCGACAGAAAGTTGGTCGACCAACAATTGAAGAAGATCAGCCGCTCCTTTTAAAAACCATTGTTGACATTGCATTGTATGGGTCTGCTGCTCACGACAAAAGACAGAGTGATATTTATCATAGTGTTAGAAATCTCGATGATTTGACAGAACAATTCAAGATTCAAATTCAAGGTTTTCAAATAAGTATAAGTGCTGTTTATACTCGGGTCTTGCCAAAACGAAGTTTATCATCGGAAGGCAAACGCCATGTAACAACTGTACCAGTGAAGTTAATTCGAGCACAAAATGATTTACACTCAAAACAAATTGATGGTACAGTTTGTACAGCTACTTTGAATCACCGAGACGAAGTGGCTTCTTTGTTGGGACCTAAAGAAATATGCTTCATCAGTCAAGATGACAAAGCCAGAGTCCCCATTGGATTGACAGCAGCTAACAAGCAAGCTCCACTTTTAATGCATGTCGAATACCGCGTTACATTGCCTGATCACGACTGGGTAGTAGCATCTAGACCACAAACTCATACCATCTGTTTATCCTGGCATTGAAATCCATAGACGGTTTAGGTAAACCCGAAGCTGTAACATATGCAGACCCAACTTACATAGCCATCAGATCAGGCAAGCATTGCTCATCATCAGCTTAGAGCCATGGACTGGACTGTGAAAGTCTACATTGAATTGGAAGAGTTTGACATTGTTACAAAGGATCCAAGCAACAAGTTGATCAAACCGATTCTTATTCTGTCTGTGGATGGTGGACCTGATGAAAATCCAAGGTATCAAAAAGTTATTGATGTGACCATCCATCATTTTGTGAAGCAGAACATTGATGCAATGCTTGTAGCAACGAATGCGCCTGGTAGAAGTGCGTTTAATCGAGCAGAAAGACGAATGGCTCCTCTTAGTTGAGAACTGTCAGGACTAATTTTGCCACATAAACATTTTGGAAGCCACCTTGACACACAAGGTCGAACAATTGATGAAGAGTTGGAAAAATTAAACTTCAAATATGCTGGCAAAACATTGACAGAAATATGGAAATTATTCAGCCAGAACCTATGCCAATAATAACAACTGAGAAACATTTGACATCTCCATGGGAAGATATAGAGGCTGTGATATAAGATTTGGATTTGTTTGTAAAAAAATGTTACTAAATTAAAAGTTTATTTATGGTTTAACTTTTTAATCTCGTTTCTGCTTGAATTTAGAACAAGTCTTTGTAAATATTCAAATAGTCTTTAAAGAGTTATATTAATTTGAAATATGTTCATAATTTAACGTTGTAATATGTATACATTTTTGTAAACCCTATAATCTCTTTTCTGTTTAGAGTAAGCCTTTGTAGTTATAAATTGGAAATATGTTCATAAGTTAAAAGTTTATTAAAATATTTTTCTCTAAACATTTTACTTTTATTCACTTTTTTGTTTAGTCGTAAACTATTCTCTTTAAAAAAAAAAGTTTTTTTTCCCCATTTTATTTTGGGGGAGGGGTGTCTGTGTGTGTGTAATCAAATGTTGACTTAATTTTATAGGGGGTCTCTGGAAGTTTGACAAGTTGTTGACAAGGGGGAGTGGGGTGGGGGGAAGGTAAAAATCGCCAAAAACTTGTTGACATAATTAATGGACAGCCCCTAATTATAATTCCTACATGATGGTATCCATCGACCTATAAACCTATAGCCCTCAATAAGAGTTCAGGATCACAGAATCTACTAAATAAAGTAGAAAGCAAAACATGGTTTTTCCAATGTTTACACGTTTCTATGCTGAATTTGGCAGCACAATTATAACCAAGTGTAAAGCTAACAACGTTTGTCATGGATCATAAGTACATCCATGCATAAAACAGTATCACTTATAACACTAACATTTCTTTTGTTTCAATAAATGACTTAGTACACTGGATGAATGATAATGAGAAATGCTTTATGTTATGACTTCCCAGCTATAAAATGTATAGGTTGGTAGGCTGTACTATCTGGAAGGTTTTCACTGTCACCTACATTAAGTTCGTTACCGTCAAAACTTTGGCTATCTGAGCTGTTCCTCATGCTATCCCCATACAAGTCTTGCCTTGTATAGCCATCGGATTCATTCTGCTTGTCCCGAGATGATTCACTACCCCTGGAGTAGACTTCACAACCCTCAAGAGAGGAGTCTTCAGTTCCTCCCCTGAGTCTTTGGATGACATGGCCACTACGGAGGCACTCGGAGTGAGAATCACTGGGTCCAAGGTCAATGCAATGTTCACTCTTGTCACCATCAGGTTTACCTAAATTAACAGTGGGGTAATATTGTGTCGTCAGGGGTTCCCTGTCATGATGAAAGCTCAAAGATTCATTGTCACAACCTTTGCCACTCTCTACAGCAGCACTACCAACTTCTTGACTGTGGTAACACCCTGTACCGGTACTCTGCAAATGGCTTGTTCCTGAATGTTCAGTAAAGCTCTCCATACTGTCTCTGTCACTGCAGTAATGGCCATTGGGGTTGTCCTCCTCGTATGCATAGCTGTGACTACTGCTTCTCTCTAAGGCTTTGTGAGCAACATAGCCATCATCAGTGTTGACAATGGAACTACCAAGCTGACTGACATAGTTATCACTGCTATTAACAGAAGCACCACAACACTCTTGACTGACATAGTTACCACTGCTATTAACAGAACCGGCCCTTAGATTATGAATGACATAACCATTTACAGGACATTCTGAGGCCAGGGAAGATTGAGCTATACTTAGATCTGACAGCAAATTGACCGAAACACATGGCAGACCAGTACAAGTGCACAGATCTGTCAGATCCATCGGTCTCTCCGAGTTGACTTCCTGACGCTCATTGCCAGAACTCAAAACGCTTGGATGAATGTCCTCTGCTGCTCTGAGTTCTGTTTGATCGTCCATATTGGAGATGTAACCAGGGTGTAGCCTTGAGACATAATCCTGCCCTGGCTGCATGTTGATTGCCTCTAGAGCTTTCTCACCGAAACCATCAGCTTCATCAACACCGATCGACCCATCTTCTGGATAATATTCAGTTGCTTGACCATTTTGTACACCAAAACCTACATATTCTTGAACATGAGGTGATCCACATTGCTGTGTTTCTCCTGGGGTCACTGTTGACTGGGCCCCTTCAGCCTGTGGGAACATTGGAGACTGACCATCTAAAGCCAGACCTACGCATATGGCTTGTTGAATGGGATGTTGTGGGATGCTGCGTGTGTCGGGCTCACTTGGAACGATCAAAGAATTCTTGTCTGTAATGTAATGACTACAAGGTTTACCAGCTGATCCGTTAGCCACACGTACATATTCATCCAACGGCCCACTGCCATCATCTTTAACATAAACATTAGTCCCCTCTTGGGTTCTAATAGGTGAGGGTTGCTCATTGCTGACCTCCAGACTAATCTCTTTTAGAGCAAAAGCATTGTCAGGCTGGTCAACATATCCCGGAGAGTTCAGAGTGGGATGGACTGGTCCAATGTAAGGGGGTTGGACTGGTCCAATGTAAGGGGGTTGGACTGGTCTATTGTGAGGGGGTTGGACTGGTCCATTGTGAGGGGGTAGGACTGGTCCAATGTGAGGGGGTAGGACTGGTCCATTGTGAGGGGATTGCACTGGTCCATTGTGAGAGGGTTGGATTGGCCCATTTTGAGAGGGTTGGACTTCACTCTCTGAGGTGCAGGACTGTTGACTTCTTTGACTGGATGTATACACACCAGATTCCGTGCTGGTTTGGGGCTGGTATATAACCTGTAGAGATGTATTGCATTAGCTCGGTACAGTTAATCATAGTTTACTATAATCAATGAAATAATTCTATAGTACAAAAGTTGTAACTAGATGTAAAATAATGAATGTTGACTGTGTAAAAAAAAACATGCCTTAAATACCGGTGTACAGTGACATGACTGAGTTACCTGTGTAGATGACTTAGACAGGATCAGTGTATCATCCAATAACAGTTTGAATCGTTTGCCACCCTTCATGCATCTCCTGTAAAAAAGACAAAGTCTATGATCCTAAGATTCTACAATTATTATAGCTTTAAATGAGATGTTTGCTGTACCTTAAACTTATGGATGCTACTCTAAGAAGATTTGACAGACGACAATTGATTTCTTTGACAATTCAACAACTAACAACCATTTGTTTCTGAAACAATATGACAAATAAACATTTCTGTGACACTTTGCAACCAATTTACTGAGCTTATCAGAAACTAAATACTTGATTCAGAAATATCAGTTTTCCCATTGCCACAGTCAGTGCAATAAAAGTCCACAAAGATCATTGCAATAAAAGTTCACAAAGGTCAGTGCAATAAAAGTACATCAAGGTCAGTGCAATAAAAGTACACCAAGAGCCAGAATAAATAAATTTTAAACTAAAAATAGCCTTTATTGCATTGCTGGCCACTGACATTTCACCATTTTTTTAAATTGTAGGTACGATTGTTAAATCTATTCCCAACACAAGTTGCAACTGTCCTATATCTAATAATAGACATGTTAGTTCTGCTGCTGTCTCACTGCATCAAGCCATGCATTGCTTAATGTGAGCATTGACCAATCAATATGTCCTACACCAGTCGGTGTACCAATGGCCAATCAATGTACCTTCCACTACTTGGCGTCAACATTGACCAATCAATGTACCCTGCAATACTTGGGAGTCCGCATCGACCAAGCAATATGCCCTACACCACTTGGTGTAAGAATTGACCAATCATTTCCCTCTACTAATTGGAGTCAGCATTGACCAATCAAAATATCCTGACATTGAAAAGGTTAAAGTATTGACTTACCAAACAAAGAAACAAATGAGGCCCATGAATATTAGTAAAAAAGCAGTTGCAATAATGGCAGTGATCACATTACCAGATCCAGAATCATCTGATGAAAAGATTAGAAGAAAACAAATTCGGTCACAAAAATGGTATGAATTTAATACACCTTTAGTTTGTATAGGAAAAAGAGGGGGGGAGGGGGGGGGGGGTGTGTGTATCAAACTTTTTTGTCTTTCTAAACACCATCCTTTGACATTATGCATAATCAACAATAATGATTAATATTTGTTGCAAAACTTTGTAAAACCTGTATGTACATTCACAAAGAAAATTTTCAGTGTGGATTAATCCTGTGCCATGTGATAATCCTGTTTGATACCCACGGTATGAGTTAATTAGAATGAATGGAGAACATCTATTATATGTAACCCAAGTTAATCAGAGCTGTAGAAGCAAACTTAACTTTTAAACATCACTCTGATAAAACAAATAACAAATATGTGTTACAACAGTCCAATTTTTGGGAAGCCATTCATCAGTCCAAATTTTAGGAAACAATGCATCAGTCCAATTTTTGGGAAGCCATTCATCAGTCCAAATTTTAGGAAACAATGCATCAGTCCAATTTTTGGGAAGCCATACATCAGTCCAATTTTTGGGAAGCCATTCATCAATCTCATTTACCACTTAGTTTTTTTACCATACATTTCCCAAGAGATGAAATTTTTATAAATAACCTGAATTTGGGACACTGACCAAACATTTTCCAAGAGATGACATTGGTATGAAAAACCATGCTTTGAGACGATGACCAAACATTTCCAAAGAGATGACATTTGTATAAATAATCTGACTTTTGTGACAATGATCTTTGAGCTTAAAAAACTCTACAAAAATATAATACTACAAATAAAACTATCAATGAAATAAATTACAAGCAAAACAACATCCTCAATTTGTTGGAGACCATATTATATTTTTTATTAATTTTTTTAGATAAAAAAGAAGTGCAATTTCTACCATTACTAAAATGAAATAAAATTAAATTAGATTATAAAAGTATACAAAATGGCAAATCTAATTGTGTACACACACATCATATTGATTGAATTCGATATGCATGAGACGATGAGTGGTACAGAAAAGTTAATGACAGACAAGAATGAACGTCTTAACAAAAACATCTGCAAATGTGAATGTTAGATGCATTATTTATTATATACAACTTCTAAAAGGATTGAAATCAAAATCAAATAGGGAAAAAAAATGATTTGAGGAATTTAATCCAAAATTTGTTTCCTTTTTGAAAGTCTGTTAATAAATATATGTTAAATTTTTTTTACCTTTACAAGCCAAATATTCAAATATATTAACAAATGCATCTTGTCTTTTTTTTTAAAAAGTATGTGAATGCCCAATTACTGATTTAAATTGTTACATTATTTTCATATTCTCTAATACAGTGGTTACCATTCGTGTGCAATCCTCAGGGGCTCCAAAGCCAGATTATGAAATAAAATAACACCATTAAATTTTAAGACACACTGTAGGAACTCCCCAATTTTCTAAATTAGAGTAAGGGCTCCGCAAGTCAAAAAAAGTTGGGAACCACTGTTTTAATATAATCAAAGGAATGAAAAGTGTGTGATGTTACTCTTTGCATTTTTCCATGTGTTGTATGTTTCAGTATATAATATTCAACTTCTTCTTTGCAGAATTTATTGAAAATGCTGCATGTACATTGACGAGCAGACATTTGTGTAAGCATTGCATATTTTGTTATAATTTTAATTAAAGACATGTAAACAGGTTACTGTACAGTTTTTTTAGAAAAATGATTTTACACTTATCTTAAGCATGTCTTCCTTCAGCAGTTTGTAGAATTGTAGAATTTATGTGAAAGTTTGACCAAAGACACAAGTGTGAAGGAGGATCAAGTGTGGAGATTGAGTGTCAATACTATTAAGGAACAATGGTTTTAAAAATGTCTACCCATTAAATGGTCTCTGCATTACCATTGACAAGTTCAGTTTAATATTTCAACATCTTATGACTACTTTCAATTAGTCAAACTTCATGGTAAAAGTTACTCTCTTTGATATATATTTTTTACATTCATACTGAAGAAATCATTGATTTGTTTATTTATTTTTCCAATAAACTTGAATTTTAACAATAAATAATTCAAAAACACGCTTTATCCCCAAAGGCTCGAAGCGCGGTACAAAAGTAAAAAAACAACAAAAAAACAACTAATCTATAATTTACCACATTTAAAACAAATGCAACACTACAAAAACTAATTACAAGCATACCAAGTCAAAGTTTTTCTACCCATTTCAACCCTAAACAACACAGCCAATATGCATTAAATGGAAAATATGGTAGACAATCATCCCAGAAGGTGTTTGCGAAATAGATATGTCTTTAAATCAGTTTTAAAGGACTCCAGTGTCTGATTGTTTCTGAGATCGACTGGAAGGGCGTTCCAAATTGTTGGACCAGCAAATGCAAATGCGAAAGAGCGCTTTCCGATAAAAACTAAATAAATAAGATGAATTGCCTTCATATTAAGCTGAGATCAATAGTTTGTAGTCTGTTAGAGATTACAAAATTACTGAAAGAACTTGGGGCTGTGGTGAGTGCTGCTTTTGTAAGACACATGGAGAATGTATTATCAATAATTGAAGTAAATATTTACAGGTATTCTTGTTTTTTTTAATGGGCACTCTTTACATGTAAGCCCAAGGAGAAACTATCTTACTATCTATCTAAAACACAATGTAAAGTAGGTTGTCTTGAAGCTTCATTGCCAAGGACAGGTCAAAGTTCATACAAAATAATGTTCAGGTTAAGAACAACATTTTATGTATGTACATAACTTAAAACAATGCCACACATTGGCACAAATACTGGGAGACAATGCCTTGAAATTATTTGTATACAGGAATGTTGGAGATACAACAAGTTCTCAGCATCCCAACTCTTTCAAGCACTTACTCTTACTTCCAGTCAATGCCGTCTCTTCAAACGTGGGACCTAGTTTGTAAGGTGTCTCAGCCTGAATGGACACAACATAGTGATGATTCTCTAGCAGGCCAGTAGCTGTGTAACTGTCAACAGAACCATTGACATTTACACCTGTGGAACACAACAAATGGGAACAATCGTTAACATATTCAATGGATGGCCTTAAGCATTAATTGACTTGATTAGACAAAAATTCCTACTGAATGCAATTGTAGCAGTTTCTAGTCCTAGAAGCTCAGTGTAAAATGTTGCAACTTCAACCATGTTAATGTATTCTGGGTTACCTCTCTTATAGCTACTTAGATGCATTTCTGGCGATTATTCCATGGACGAGATCAAATGTTTATTACCAATAGTTTGCATAAAATCTCATTAAATTAAGTATACTGCAGACCAAGCTTGTTGGTGTCTTGCATTTGAAACATTTGTCGATATTTTAAAAATCTTGTTTTTCTGTCAAGGAGGAGACACCAAATCATGATTTCTGTCCAAGCAAGTAATGGTGCAAATATTGGGTAGGCCATTGGTCTGCAAACTCATTAGTCAAGAGAGATAAATTTCTTTTCAAGAACCTATCAAGACCCGTGATTTTCGGAGTCAAAACTGACTTGTTGCTGACTGGCTTAGCCGCACTCAGGTCGTTAAAGAGCTGCATTGCGAACCACGATTTGCCAACCACTAGGGTAGGCACTGATAACTACAAACACAACAAGGGCTTTCCCTATTCAGTGATTCTCTTCATCAAGCCTGATTTTGAGGATGTGTGGTAACAGTTTCCACACAAAGTCAGAACAGCATTGAATGATTGAATAAGTTAACAAGTGCTAAAAAAACTATGACATCAAAAAATGTACTTTTGGGGAAGCAGTGGCATATCTAAATGATGGGAATTTCAATCTGAACAGATGTAAATATGAAGGAGAAACAAGGTATAAACTCTTCCAGATTATTAGCCTACAAATCAACCCAGAAGAGAAGAAAAGGCTTTCTGAACACCAAAAAAAGCAAGAGAAGTAAATATGTACAAGCCTGGAGGACATTATCTTTCACTAAATAGTGAGAAATTAATTAATTTAGCAGTCAGTTGACATTTGTCTTAATTTTCAAAGTCACAAATCATTCCAAATTCAGGGATATTTTTTTTTTTACAAAATAATTATTGATTGTGCACACAAATTACTTACGTTGACATGAGTCCGATGTCTGTTTTGCAGAACAAATTGAAAGTATATATTGCACTATCAATGTTTTGCTAGCTTTGCTGCACGGTGTTGCTATCCATGAGATTTCTAGTGAGCCACTCTCAGTTCCTGACCTCACTCGTAAACCTCGGGGTTTGCCAGGCACTTTAGGGATTGTTGAAATACAACTAATCATCAGTACACAAATGAAAACTTAAGATTATATGGGTGATGGGTAAAATAAATAATTGCAAGGTGATTCTAGTTAATCAATGGAAACAAAGAATGGAAGGACATTTTTATGTATTTATTTTAATTTTCTTCTCTATGAGAATAAAATTACTGATGATCTGATACAAATGTTCTATGGCAGTAAGAACATGTTGATAGCTCAACTTCTGATGTTTTTTTTTATAATTCAGCTAGTAAAGTTGTGCTATAACCCAGGTTGTTATTCATTGAAAACCAAAGAAAACTCTTTGGTTTAGTTTTATTTTGTTATGTGCATTGAGAATTGATCCATGATTAAATGCAGAATCTTGTGGGTGTTCATTTTAATATTAGGTGTTATTACATGAGGACAAGGATAGGTTTACTTGATATGAAAGTGGCCTGTGAAGCCTTTTTGGTTGACCTGCCCTGGTCTAAGTAAACTAACAAGCCCTCCCCTAAATAAACTAGCCAGCCCTGCACTGAGTAAACTAGCCAGCCCTGCCCTACGTAAACTAGCAAGCCCAGGTCTAAGTAAACTACATACTATATTCCAGCATATTTAACTATATACATCTGTAGCTACATACCAGCATCTCTAACTACATACCAGCACCTCTAACTACATACCAGCATCTTTAACTTTAACTAAATACCATCATCTCTAACTATATACCAGCACCTCTAACTACATACCAGCATCTTTAACTTTAACTAAATACCATCATCTCTAACTACATACCAGCATCTCTAAGGAAGACACATTCAGTCCAGTTTATGCCCCGTGTTTGACCATTTTCATGCCTCAAAGCATACCCAATCAAATTGACCGTACTGGTAACATTGGTCAGGAATATGGCCTCCTCAGTCATGTTTACCTCTATGACTCTGAGTTCATCCTGCCATCAACAGACAAGAAGAACACTTTAAACATTGGCTAGATCTCAATAGAACAGTCATAAGACAGGAATAGTAATGGCTGAAAGTATTAAATATAAATTGTTTCCGACCGGGACAAAAAAGGTACAGGTGACATGAGAAAGGTGATGCAGTATTTCTCAATGTTACATCTAGTTTTGAATATATGACACGCCTTAATCTTTTAACTCAACTTATAGTTAAGTCACATAACATGTGTAGGGTTAAGATTGTCAATGAATGCTGTAATTATTGTTGTTTTGTTGATTTAAATTTCACCCTTATGATCTTTTAACCCTTACGGTACTGACCTACTTTTTGGTTTTATTATGGGGCTTTTATTTTGCTAATTATTCCCTGTGGCCCAGACATTATTTTGGAATGAGCCAAAATTTGATAGGTCCGTTAATTATTTTGTAACTTTTTTGTTTTAAACAATTGATAATAACATACCGGGTGTAGAGAATTATCTGTTCAGAAATGGATAAGGAAGTTAAAAAAAAAAACGCTTCTAATCCCAATAAAAGCTCAAGTTTCATCAAGTGGGCGTAAGTGGTCATCAACAATAGCGCTAGGTAGCGCCATGGAAACAACAAAAACAGATCAGCACAAACAAACTCAGTAATTGGTAGAGTTTCATAATTTAAAAGACAAAATAAAATTAGACTATTCCCCTTACGAATAACATTCTTCCAGAAACTGTAGATAGTGAAAGGTTATATCCTCGTGTCTGTGTTTATATTAGATACCCCTCTATGTGCTTGGGGCAAGGGTAAAAACGATCGGCTGGTGAAAAAAGACGCGCTTGGGTCACAGGGAAAAAGTAGGTCACTGCAAAAAGATGCGCCTGATACTGTAAGGGTTAATATTTTCCATATCCATGGCTCATAATGCTTCAAACACTCATTTGTACCAACATATGTATAGGCTTAAATAACATAGGGGCTATTGTTTCTTTTTCTTTTATATCTCATTTCCATGTCTGTTATGTCTTATTGTAATGAAGATCTTAATTGCATGCAGTCAGACATAATTTATAAGTCTGCTGCAAAACCTCATGGTAGACTTTGGTAACAAGGGGAAGAAACCACTACTTACAAAACAAATCTTCGCTTGGTAAGATTCTTGACACATGTATACATAGAGGGATACATCTTTTTCATGAAGTCCAGCTCGCCATGTTATGTTGAGATTCTTTAGCGAGGAAGGGGACAGGTCAAAAAGCTCTTCCACTTTAAAATCAAAATTGCTTGGAACAGGCAAAGCTGGTAATGGCAAAGAATACAAATATGGCCTCATCAGCTTATAACAATTTAAGGGTCGACATTTTTTTAAGACTGTCCTGAGAATGTTTGGCCAGTCTTCAACTATTCATAGTAATTTCATTATATATCATAATTCATAATTTCACAGAAGCAATATTTTTCAGATACCAACAATTGAATATTTTTGTCATAAGAATATGTTAAGGTAAAATATATATTTCAATATAATCTTAAGCCAACTCCTGTTGGTATTTTTATTATTTTGATAAACTAGTCATTATACCCTGTTTTTTTGAGATTTTTAAATCAGCTTTACACAAAACAAATTCCAAATAGAAGAGGATACATGAACACAAAATAGGGAATGGTATGTCAATTCATGATGACATAATATTGGTTAGAGGCTTTTGATTAAAAATGAAATATGTCATCATGAATTGACATTCTACTATCCAATAATAACATGTTGTGAAAGACATCAACCAATCTGATGTGTGGTAACATTGACCATCTAACACATCAAACAACTTTACGTGTGATAACATTGACTGTCTAAGCCACACCTATCATGTGTTTAACACACTAAAAGAATAACGCAGTAGATGTAAATATACAGGGTGAAAACGAAATAGTCAATTAGATTTCAAATGTTTCATCATAACCCGATGGGGCTCCGCCACAATTACATGTCAAGAAGGAATGGGTCAGTTACTAATGTCAAATATGTCCTATCAAGCCTCAAGCTCATTAATTAACAAAACACCTTCAAAACTAGTTTACCTTGACTTGCTTTTGGTATAAAAATTAGAGATGGCCTAATGGACGTGCCCACTTTTGTAGCTGATGAGACAGAAATGTTATACTGAGCATCACACTGAAGAGACTCTTGGAAGGAGTTTGTGCCTTTTCTTAACTGATAAGTCTCATTCTTGAAAGACACTTCAAACCTGGTGGATTCTCCTTGAAGTGAGTCCCTGGGGGATTCCTGTGGAACAGTGTCACATGTGAAGATTTATGGAGAAATATGTCAGCATGACCTCTCATTTATCCAACATGGGCATTAGAAGAATATCATCAAAATAATAAAATGCTGAATTATTGTATTTTTCCAAGAGTATAGGCCAACTGTTGTCCCCTGCTGTAAGACTAAACAAAGGGTACGACCTACAATCAGCATGTGTCACATTTAGCCTAACATTATGAGTTATGTTATAATAGATGGGTTAAATGTTAAAAACAAAGCATGTCCCATACTTAGCCTAACAGCATGCATGATACCTTCCTAACATCTACTCACATTCCAATACAAGTAAACTCTTCTCTTATTGTTCTCACAGTTCTCCTCGTGGTAGTTTGTACTCAACATTGGTGGGCCAGTCAAGGGTCCTGTTATAGTGAATAAATACAAAATAAAGGTTTCATGGTAGAATTAAAGTGAGGGATCAACTAATCATACTGGTCTGTCTTTATCCTGGGCAATTCTGTAGTGGTCAACTAATCATAATGGTCTGTCTTCATCCTGGGCAATTCTGTAGTGGTCAAGTAATCATAATGGTCTGTCTTCATCCTGGGCAATTCTGTAGTGGTCAACTAATCATACTGGTCTGTCTTTATCCTGGGTAATTCTGTAGTGGTCAACTAATCACACTGGTCTGTCTTTATCCTGGGTAATTCTGTAGTGGTCAATTAATCATAATGGTCTGTCTTCATCCTGGGCAATTCTGTATTGGTCAACTAATTATAATGGTCTATCTTCATCCTGGGCAATTCTGTAGTGGTCAACTAATCATAATGGTCTGTCTTCATCCTGGACAATTCTGTAGTGGTCAACTAATCATAATGGTCTGTATTAACCCCTGGCCATTCCGTATTGCTTAACTCCCTTTAACTTTGAGGTTCCCAAGCCAAATACACATGTCAATGAGCTTGTTTAACCAAGTAGTAAGTAAGTTTGATACGTTTCAAAATAAAATGTATTTATGCCAACTGAATGTGATTAAAGGCAGCAGTAATATGCCCAGCTGAAAACTTACTATCTTCCAAAGTTGTTGCCTCTACTGTTGCCGATTCACTCCATGGATTTGGTTGTCCTCCTTTTAGTTGCACTCTCAATGAATACTTTGTGAAAGGCTTGAGATCACAGATTGGGATAGAAACGTTGGCATTTGTGTATGATCCATTTATTCTCTGCAATAACACCATCAGAGAAACGAGTTATGTATAGCATGTATTCTACTGACAATATCAATAGGTCCTATCTAATATACACTTGACATCTTTTAGTTAAAAAAATTCTCCAAGACCTTTTGAATAAGAATTTTAAGCTGTCAATCTGTCCTTTTGTAATGATTCAGTAACATTTAGGACACACAGTTTTCAAGATAGAAAAGTTCACTTTTTTGTAATGATTCAGTAACATTTAGGACACACAGTTTTCAAGATAGAAAAGTTCACTTTTTTGTAATGATTCAGTAACATCTAGGACACACAGTTTTCAAGATAGAAAAGTTCACTTTTTTGTAATGATTCAGTAACATTTAGGACACACAGTTTTCAAGATAGAAAAGTTCACTTTTTTGTAATGATTCAGTAACATCTAGGACACACAGTTTTCAAGATAGAAAAGTTCACTTTTTTGTAATGATTCAGTAACATTTAGGACACACAGTTTTCAAGATAGAAAAGTTCACTTTTTTGTAATGATTCAGTAACATCTAGGACACACAGTTTTCAAGATAGAAAAGTTCACTTTTTTGTAATGATTCAGTAACATTTAGGACACACAGTTTTCAAGATAGAAAAGTTCACTTTTTTGTAATGATTCAGTAACATCTAGGACACACAGTTTTCAAGATAGAAAAGTTCACTTTTTTGTAATGATTCAGTAACATTTAGGACACACAGTTTTCAAGATAGAAAAGTTCACTTTTTTGTAATGATTCAGTAACATCTAGGACACACAGTTTTCAAGATAGAAAAGTTCACTTTTTTGTAATGATTCAGTAACATTTAGGACACACAGTTTTCAAGATAGAAAAGTTCACTTTTTTGTAATGATTCAGTAACATCTAGGACACACAGTTNGGGGGGGGGGGATTATTGCGACTAAGGTTTCGACAAGTATGACATGCTTCCAGGGAGCAGAATATTCATGGATAGGGTGGAGGGTAAAATTAGCATGACATGGAAAATTAATTAGCAGTATTTACTTAATATAATTCGCCAGAAGAGGTCAAACAAGAAGACGGGTCAAACACCACCATGCAGGCTATATATAGATACGCCAGAGCAAGCAAACCCTCCCCTCACTTCCCTTGCCTGCCCCTGTTTGTCTCGAGACATGCGCACTGTGGTGGTATGCTAAGCCGCGGGTCGCTTATAATGAAAAAGGGGGGGGGGGGAAGGGGGGGGGAAGGGGGGTAGCAAAATTGGCATTCTTAAATGTGCGTAACTTGAGTTCACGTTTTTGTCAAGTAACTTTAGTAGATGGGAAGTTGCCGCATTGTTGTTTGGCGGGCTACATCTAGTTTACTTAATTTCCTATTTGAGCAATGTTTAAAGGATGTAACTATGTAAATTTCACAAATGCACCAAATTATCACAGAACAACACAACTGTTTATAAATACACACATGTAAGAAATTGTTAAAGAGAACAACACAACTGTTTATAAATACACAAATGTAAGAAATTGTTAAAGAGAACAACAGAACTGTTTATAAATACACAAATGTAAGAAATTGTAAAAGAGAACAACACAACTGTTTATCAATACACAAATGTAAGAAATTAAACTAGAAACTTACTGTTGTATAGAACCTCAAACTTGTACACTGATGTGGCCCAGGTTTTGAAAATAGGCTGCAAGTATTCTGGGCCAGGACGGTTCTTTATATTTCTTGTAGAGGACACATTGATGCTAACAAAAATAATTTCCTGGTCTTGGTAGTCCCTTTGTAATATCATGCAAGATTCGTTTGTGTTCTTACTACAAGTCAAATTTGAACTGAAATGGACAAAAGGCTTTGATGAGTAATGGCCAAGGTGACAGCCCTTTAAACATCTTTTATATATTGTTACTATAGTGCAAGGATCTCATGGCGCATCATTTCATTGAGGGGCTGATAAAAATAAAATAAACTTTTTCAAAAAAGTTAGTATTATTATTAATATTTATTGACAATAAAATTCCAATTGCAAATTGTTTCCACTTTTTTAGATTTCTGAAGATTTAACATGTAAAATTAAAATAAAATGTATTATCTACAAACTACAGGATTTAAACCACCTACAAAACAACTGTAAATTTCAACCATGCCAACCATGAACATTCAAAAACTGTACAAAAAAAAAGTCCCAACAAATTGTATAATAGCATGAAAAACTGTACAGAAAAAATCAAAAGTAGAATGTAACACTTTTTCATCATTTTTATCAATGCTTTGAATGCATGAATAAAAAATGAATAATCTCACTTTTGCTGCAAGCACATGTTTACATCAGTCACAGATGGAAAGATCACATCTTTTCAATGAAAAGAGCTTATTTAAGTCTGATTTTGTTTTTCAAATTTTGAGTTTTTTAAAGAGTTTTGTTTAACTTTATAAACAATAGACTCAGAAGATTAATTTGAAAGCAATGTAGACGAAATTAGACATAATACTAATACTTTGATTAATTCCGCATCCATCTTGAAAAAGTTATTGAACTTAACTTCAACTCAAAACCTTATTTTTCTCCAGATGGAAATGTCATGAGGATATATTTTTTCCCTACTCTATGTGCTATGTGGATATAAAATGTTAATAGGAGGTTTCCAGCTGGAGTAAAATAATAAATATAAAACAAATATAATATAGCCTACAATTCTCACTGATTTTGGCTGAAATAACGTGTTAACACATTGTTCCATGCCGGTGTCATAAATAGGACTAATGATTAATGCTAGTCATTGATTGATAGTAATATAAAATATATTTAATAGAAATTATAAGAACACTTACTAACACTGCAGTTCTTTTTAATAGGCACACAAATGAATTTGTAATTATGGTTAATTACTCAAAGTAGTTACTACCGTTCTACCCTGTCTTAAACCATTGATAAACTACAGTAATAAAGCCATCTATAAACTACAGCAGGCCTGAACGACATGCGCCCGCAAAGACTTTGGTGAAAATTCATAATATTATAAATTAAAATCAATACAAAAATCTTTACGAAGTTGTACTCAAAACTTTTAGTGTATTTGGAATCACTTACGTATGTGAAACAGAAATTTCAATAATGAACATTAATAAACGCAAGTGATGATCATGAGTAATGATCATTTGGAAGACATCTTGAGAACAGCCACTTCGAAAATATCTCATGAATACGACAAACTTGTTCCCGAAAAACAATGCAAGTGTCTCATTAAATTTCTTTCGTAAGTAACGAAATATTCTTTTTTATTATTATTATTTTCTTAACAGCTTTCCCCCTTGTCCTATTTTTTTTGTTGACCCCCACAAGTTGTTCATAAAGTATTACATTTTGAGTTGTGCAGGCCTGAACTAAAGTAATTAAACTATCCCTAAATTGCAACTATTAAACAATCTATAATCTACAGTAATTTAACCATCTATAAACTACAGTAGTTAAAACATCAATAAACTTCAATCTTCAATAAACTTAAACCATCTACAACTCTCTAGACTTAATACAATAATTAAACACAGGATCTATGTCAGCTTACCCATCAGTAGGTGCTGAGAATGGGTTCCATTTAGTAACTACTCTGATGTAAAAGGGATTCAAGTATTCCTGTCCAAGCTTCCATGTCAAATTGATGTTGTCCTTGTACAAATAGACACCAGAGAAATCCGTGACATTTTTTATAGGACCTGTTGAATAGAAAGTCATTGCTTGAACTTGCTACAAGCCTGCACCTGCAGGTCAATCTGCACAGCAATAATACTAAAACCTTCAGGTCAATCTGCACAGCAATAATTCTAAAACCTGCAGGTCAATCTGCACAGCAATAAGTCTAAAACCTGCAGGCTGAATATGCACAGCAATAAGTCTACACCTGCAGGCTCAATCTGTGCTGCAATAAGTCTACACCTGCAGGTTCAATTTGTGCTGCAATAAGTCTATACCTGTGGCTCAATCTGTGCTGCAATAAGTCTACACCTGCAGGCTCAATCTGTGCTACAATAAGTCGACACCTGCAGGCTCAATCTGTGCTACAATAAGTCTACACCTGCAGGCTCAATCTGTGCTGCAATAAGTCTACACCTGCAGGCTCAATCTGTGCTGCAATAAGTCTACACCTGCGGCTCAATCTGTGCTGCAATAAGTCCACACCTGCGCCTCAATCTGTGCTGCAATAAGTCTACACCTGCGGCTCAATCTGTGCTGCAATAAGTCTACACCTACGGCTCAATCTGTGCTGCAATACGTCTACTCCTGCGGCTCAATCTGTGCTGCAATAAGTCTACACCTGCAGCTCAATCTGTGCTGCAATAAGTCGACACCTGCGGCTCAATCTGTGCTGCAATAAGTCTACACCTGCGGCTCAATCTGTGCTGCAATAAGTCTACACCTGCAGGCTGAATCTGTGCTGCAATAAGTCTACACCTGCGGCTCAATCTGTGCTGCAATAAGTCTACACCTGCAGGCTCAATCTGTGCTGCAATAAGTCTACACCTGCAGCTCAATCTGTGCTGCAATAAGTCTACACCTGCGGCTCAATCTGTGCTGCAATAAGTCTACACCTGCGGCTCAATCTGTGCTGCAATAAGTCTACACCTGCAGGCTGAATCTGCACAAAAAACCTAATCCCCTCAACCTTTCATAGCATCAACACATTTAAATAAACATACATTTATAGATTTATAATACATATAAATTTATTTAAATGTTAAATGAAAAAAAAAAATCTTTGCACCTTATTGACTATTCACGACTTAGCAGAGTTAAGCCAGCTCAGGCTTTTCAATTTTAGACTTCCAAAATTAGTATGGGATGTGTCACTAATACTTAATTTAAGAAAATATTGCTGCAATGCTTACTAAGCTTAGACTAATCTGGAGCAAAGTGAGAATTTAATGAGGATTATAGCACAAGCATTAGATGTCCCATGAACAAATCATAACACTTAGTTTATTAAACATTTTGTTGTAAGAAAGATTGCACACAAAGCTATCACAAATATTTGT